GTCCACTTTAGGAACATGTCTCTCCACAATGGAAGCTGAATATGTCTTATGTTGTGAAGTTGCAAAGCATTCTTCTTGGCTTAAGACTTTTACTATTGATTTGATTGTGATGAATTCCATTCATAGACCTCTTTAGATTTATTGTGATAACACTACTGTCATACATTTGACTAAAGAGACATGTCATCATGCAAGATCAAAGCACATAAAGGTCAAATATCATTATGTCAGAGAAAATGTTGCTAAAAAGGAATTAATAGTCTCTTATATGCCCATTGAAGACATGTTAGCTGACCACCCTTTGACTAAGGGTTTACCTATTAAACCCTTCCAACGTCTTGTATCCAATATGGGTGTAATAGATGCTTGTGGATTATTTTGATTAGTGGGAGTATCATGTTTATCTTGTTTTGTTTTGACATTGATATCATTTAATGTTCATTAATGATGATGGCTCATATGATATTTTATAATTTTATTCAGAAATATAAATGTGCACATTTGATTTCCCACATGGGAGTTTAATTGTTCATGTAGATTTGATGGCTTGTGCATTTATGGTGACTGGACATCACCTATTAAGCCCTCACCGAATGAAATGCTTGTTGAAAGTAGCATTCTTGATCACATGGTTTGACATCCAAGTGACATGTGTTTGATCAACTAATTGACACATGAAGTTTAGTGACCATATTTGGAGATGCCTTTGATGGCTTCCCAAACTACCATTCCAACTTTTGTTTTGGCCTATGGAAGGTATGCTTATAGTGCTTTAACCATGGAAATGAGTCACTACTGCATAATAGCATTGGTCTCTCCTGCTTGGGCATTTGTAAGGTGTGTTCCTTCTTAAGAGAGACGAGAGAGAGAAAAGAGAAGAAAGAGTCGATTGATACTCAAAAACTCTAGGCTGGTCGTTCCCAGCTTCTTATTTATATTCACTTAATGTAATAAGAACTAAAGTTACAAGAATGCCCCTAGCAGTTCCTAATAACAAACAACTAACAAGGAAAAAAAGAAAGCTAGCTGTTAGCACCTAGATAGACTAGGCTGACAACATACTAACACAGAACCAAACAACATACTAACAGCATACTAACATAGAACCAATAAATAAGATTTACAGCACTCCCCCTCAAGTTGGGTTGTATATGTCTATCATGCCTAACTTGTCACACAATTCATTCTGCAGCAAGTATGGAAGTCCTTTTGTAAGGACATCAGCAAATTGTTCCTTGGAGTTGACATAAGGGATGCAAATTTTCCTTCTTTCCATTTTTTCCCTTATGAAGTGTTTGTCCACTTCAATGTGCTTGGTCCTCTCATGTAGGATAGGATTGTTGGCGATGTTAATGGCTGCCTTTTTGTTACAATAAAGAAACATAATGTATCTAAGAACTCTTTCTACTGCCTCCAAGTGAGTTTTCTTAGGAGAGTGCATGAATTGGCTCAGGACCCCAACTGAATAGGCAATGTCTGGACGAGTCATGGACAAATAAATCAACTTCCCTACTAACCTTTGGAACTATTTTACATATTTCAGAGGTTCATCATCACAGTTACCTAATTTATGATCAATATCCATAGGAGTATCTCTGCTAACCTTGCACCTAACTTGCCTGTGTCTTATAACAAATCAAGAGTGTACTTCCTTTGAGAAATGAAGATACCCGTTTTTGAGCAAACAACCTCAATTCCAAGAAAAATACTTTAGAGGGCCTAGATCTTTCATTTCAAATTTAGACGCAAGGAATTGTTTCAATTGTTGTATTTCTAAACTCCAATTTCCTGTAATGATGATCATCCACATACACTATCAAAACACCAACCTGTTCCTGACATTTCTCCACAAAGAGTGTGTAATCAGACTGACATTGCTTGAACCCTACTTTCTTCAGATTGAACAAGGGCATATACCTCTTGAACCGACGACAACTCTTTGCTTCCTAAGATTTGAACTCTCAAGGGTTCATAGGCAGGATTCAGTCCCAACAAGAAGGCAAACACACGCAGCTGAGAAATCAACTTCTTGTAGGCCTTAGCATCATCGTCATGTTTCCACTCTATAGCCTAATAATGATCCAATTTTTTCCATATGGAAGTAAGGGCTGAATAATAGGCAGACAAACTACGATTTCCCTGTTTACAGGTTAAGGATTCAGCTTGCAACTAGTAAATCTTGGCATAATGCCTTTGCTCAGAATAGGTGGTTTTGGCATGTTCCCAAATCTCACTCGCAGTGTCTGCCCACATAAAGTTCTTCTTCACATCGGGTTCCATGGCTGCAAGGAGCCAAGACATCACCATACTGTTTTCTTGGTCCCACCTATCATGTTCAGCTGTCTCACACTTGGGTTCTTTCACTCTGCCATTTATGTAACCAGCTTTTCACCTTGCTGTTACATAAAGTTTCACACTTTTAGCCCACTCCAGGTAGTTCAGGCCATTTAAAGGGGTAATTGACATGGGAAACATCATGTTTTCACCTATCATACCAACTGTACTACGAGTTGGTGTAACTCCAGATGATGTTGAATTATAGTTTGCCATTGAGAAAACAAGGGTCACAAATATACCAGAGCAGATTCCACACAAACAGAATGCTAAATTCTCATGAATTTTCACTTTCGAAAGGAGAAAGATATTGTTGAAATCAATTCAGCAATAGTTCGACCCTTAGATTAGCCTAGAAATTAGTCTAACAACTAGTCTACTAACAGGCTACTAAAAATAGTCTACTAATAGAAAGAGTTCAACCATAAGCAGTCATTAAAAAAAGAAACTACTAACAGTTTGGCCACAACACATGAGTAAAAAAAAAACATACCCTTGTCTAGCACTTGTACGAAAGTGTAAACCTCAAAGCCAAGGCCTTCTCAGCCCTTCACAACATAGACCACGGAGAAAAAAGGGGACACATACCCCTGTCCAACACCTATAAGAAGGTACAAACCCAGAAAAATATTTTTCATTGCATCGAACTAAGAGAGGAGAGTCATTCTAGCATCGCCCCTCTTCTGTTAGAGTTTATTTGGTGTTACGACCAAGGAGGAACCCAAAGAACAACAGCTGTAGGAATTCTGAACAGTCTGATAGAATTCTTGGTCTTCCACGTCCAAGAGATCAAGAGAAAAAAAAATGACTGAGATTCAGATGAGAGAAAATAATTTTTTAGCCCAAAATTATTACTCTGATACCATGTATTCCTTCCTGAGAGAGACAAGAGAGAGAGAGAGAAGAGAAGAAAGGAGAAGAGAGAGTCGATTGAGACTCAAAAACTCTAGGTTGGTCATTCCTAGCTTCTTATTTATATTCACTTAATGTAATAAGAACTGAAGTTACAAGAATGCCCCTGGCAGTTCCTAATAACAAACAACTAACAAGGAAAAAAAGAAAGCTAGCTGTCAACACCTAGATAGACTATGCTGACAACTTACTAACAACATACTAATACAAAACCAATAAATAAGATTCACAACATAAGGATATTGAAAGCAAGACTGATTTGATCTTACACTCTCATAACACATGTTGTTGCTTTTTTTATTTTATGAGTGGCCACTCGATTTAAAAAAAAAATGTTTCAACCCAATGGATGTTTTTGTTTCAAAACTTTTTTTTTTTTTTTTAAACTGTGACAAACAATGGGAGATTGTTAGTATTTGTCAATTTCAAAAAAAATATATATTGGGTTGACACACAACACATATGAGTCTATGAGAGTGTTTTGAAAGTTAGAGACAAATTCCTATTTAGAGTGGTATTCTAAGTGTGGTAGGACTGGATTGAAATTAGTTTGATGGGTAATTAATCTCAATTAGCGATAAGAATTATTAGAGTCCTAGCCACCTCTGGATGGGGGTTATAAAAACCACATAGTGGTTCTGGACCCATTACGCCCATCACGGTTGGCCTCAAGATCCAAAGAGACCAATGAATTCAAGAAGTTGATAAAGAAAGAAGTGCAAGGAAGCATTCAACAACAATGGCCGGAACACAGAGTGGAATCCAAATAGGTACACACATCTGAATATGATTTCTTATTTTGTTTCACTATTCATCAATTGGATGAGTTTTATAGCTTGCAAAGTACACCAATCAAGTCATACCTTTTTACCCCTATTCACTCTAGTTTAAGAACCAATTGGACAGTGAAATCTTCTATTTCTCTACCAGTTTCGTGTTTGACATCATCCCTTAGCGCGAGTACCCAGATATAGGTGGCAATGGAATGACTTTCGTGATTGCACCATCAAGGGGCCTCCCAAGATCTCTACCAATTCAATCTCTAGGCTTCTTCAACGATTCCAACAATGGAAACTCATCCAGCCATGTTGTTGTAGTTGAATTTGATACAATTGAGTATTGAATTTGCTGATATAAACAATAACCATGTAGGTATTGACATTAACAACTTAACATATGTTGCTTCTGCACCGACACCATTTTTTTATTGATAAAAATGGTGGGCACAAGAACCTAACCTCAAAAGTGGGACAATATGATGGTTTCAACACTCGAATTAATGTCACATTAGCTCCGATTATTGTGACAATGGCAGTTCCAATTGCAATTCCCATGGTTGTGTTGTATTGGCAAAGGAGATTTGGGCCGAAGAAGAGAGAGAGAATGAGAAAATAGAAAGGAGTTAATTGGAGTGGCGAGGGAGGTTGCATAGTTATAAGAGAGAGAGAGACGGTGAGGGTTGCAACGGCTCAGGTGCAAATGAGTTTCACGGTTTGATGTCAGTGAAGATGAAAAGGGCGATGGAGAGGGACACTTGAGATTTCCTACTCACTCTCTACCCGCCATGAATTGGAGCCACACATCTTTATTATGAATTGAGAGATGTGTGGCTGTAATTAGAGTGGATAGGAAAAGGCGGAGAGGTTGGGGAAGAGAATAGCCGGAATGATGGAGTCAAAGGAGAGGTTCCTGTTAAACGTATTTGATAAAACTTGGCGTCCATACTGCCGCTAGAACTTAGATCCGTTAGTTTCGAAACGACATACGAGAGTGTGATGTGTTCGAACATAATTGGTTTCTGTCCCGTATGTGAACTCCTTTCCAATTTGATTATAAAGTGTTGGTCTCTCTAGGGTTTTAATTCATCGGAGAGTCGTAATATGTGTTATCATGGCCGGCTCGGAGTTCTCTCCCTCTCTTGCTGCTTCACATTATCCCCGTAGTTACAGATGCAATGACGAGAAAGAAACAGCACAGAGATCATTGATCGTGGGATTTTATGATCCCGCGGGATGAACACCTCTTCTGGTTCGTATTCACTGAGCATCGCTTCTGGTTCTGGCTCGTCGGTGTTTTTAACTGTTTATCGTGTTTCAGTGTTTATTACTATTATTGTTTTGAATGGTTAATTCTCTTGCCGAACCGAAGGACCTATGGAGGAAGTGCTTTGAAAGAGGTGCACTTTCGGCCAAGTTTGCCTTCGAAAAGAAACTCGACATGAATTCAGATCGCCGGACTGGATTCGATTTATGTTCAATATCGGTTCGGTTTCAAACTGGATCTAATTTTCATACATTGAAACTGGTTAGACTTTGCGAGTGAGCTTTAAAAAAAGCGAAGGTCCCAGCGGAGGGGTATGAGACTCAAAATGTGAGACCTCTCTAACACCATATGATACCTTCGTAGACTGTGATGCTCGGCCGATTTGTAGGATGCCCAAACAGTGCTAATTTGATTTTTGGAGCGTCTGGAAACCTTGGCTACATCTGAAAATCTATTTGACTTGTCTTCAAAGGAAGATAAAATAGGTTACTATTGAGTTTATTTTGTTTCATTGCAGATGCTGTCTGGGGTGCAGAAATGAAACCTCTCCCTCCCCCAAAACCTGTTGCAGGCGGATTGGATCCCAAGTCTCCGCTACAAGAGACCTTATAGATTTGGTAGGTTTTGGCAAGGGACTGGCTCTTACCATTCTATATTTGCATCGAGAATCACCGGTGATTTCTTAATCTATCGTTCTGCAAATGGTGTAATTTTGGACTTCCAGATCAACCATTTAATAGGATACTCGTGAATTTGCAAATAAAGCTTTTATGATATCTCTTTAATGAATTGGAACCATGAGTTGATGAATCGATTATTTTCACCTCATTCAGCTCAAGAAATTCACTAATGCATCAGCTCATCGACTCCTACACTCAGAACTCCCAAGTTTTAGAAATTAAAATGGATTTGTCCCAAAATTATGATTTTTTTTATGGAGGGCCTTAAATGATGCTCTACCCACGAAGAGTAGATTCACTGTGTGGAGGAACAACTTTGACTCTTGTTGCTCACTATGTACGAAAGAGAAGGAAACTATAGGCCATTTTATTCCTTAAGTGTCCTATTGTAAAGATGGTTTGGTTTTGTTTGGTTCTGAACTGACCTATTTCATCAATTATCAGAATTGATATCATTTTGGATTGCTCCTGAGGTTTCTTTTTCCACCTCTCCACATCCTCCATACCTTTTGGCCTTCTGGTTGGTTCGAAATATTGCTACATTTCGTGGAGAGGTTTGGACTCCTGAATTGATTATTGTTAAGGTCCAGTCCTTTGTTGCTCATTCTTTGGTTGGAGTTCTGCCTAACCATCAAAAATCTCATGCTGTGATGGTTCCAACCCCCCTCGTAAATGGTGTAAGCTGCCGGTTGGACTGGTTAAAATTAACTTTGACAAAGCCACTTCTCCAGTTCGGTCTGTTGCTAGATGTATCATTAGGGGTCATCTTGGATCTTTGATTTATGCTTGGGCTGTGACATTTAGTGCATGCTCTGCCTTGAAATCTGAGGTCTGTGCTCTCTTTGAAAGTCTTCATCTTGCTATATCTAGTGGTATTTCCAAAGTAATTTTTGAAGGTGACTGCGCTATTCTCATTAAATTATTGTTAGAAGATTTTGGTAATCCTCCGCAGAGTGCTCTAACACTCATTCATAATTGTAAGAATATCCTCAATCACCATCCTGATTTCTCAATAGCTTTTTCAAAGAAATCGACCAATAAGGTGGTTCATTCCTTAGCTAGGTTTGGCTTGTCTTATAACTCAGCTTGTACCTGATCATCTGTACCAGACTTGAAAAAAATTGTAAAAGATGAGTCTACTGACATCTCTAATGAAAGTTAGGCCTTCGGGCCTAACTCTCAAAAAAAAAAAATAATAATAATAAATTATAACCTCTAATCTTCGTCATGCTTGGAATTGAATTCAAAATTCCAATTTCAACTATAATCTATACTGTTAGCACCGAAGATAAAACCATAATCTATATTGATATTATTTAAGCTTGTGAAACCAAAGAATGGTGGCAATGGCATTATTGACGAGAATATACTGTGGCGTTTTGTGTACTGAACCAAAGAAAGCCGCCCATAAGAAAGTTTTCTTGTCGCTGTAGCTACCCAGAAAACCACCCATAAGAAAGCTCTCCTGTCGCTGCAGATATCCAACCTATTGTTTAAATTCTTATAAACTTACTTGTCACCCATAAGAAATTGACTTAAACATATCAGAGGTTTTAAAATAGGCTTAAATGTTACTCTGTGAGCTGACCCCACGTACTTGAACATAACCCATTACATTATGAATTCATATAAAAATTTAAAATACCATTTTGCCCTCTTATGCCCTTATGTGATTCTGAGATGGTGACATTCTTCTTCAGCTATTCTTCCAAGGGGAGAAGGAAGAGGGCGGGACTCGGGAGAGCAGATGTAGATATAAAGAGAACGAATAGTCGGATTAGATCAGATGATTGTGATTCTCTACCAGTGAGTTCTTGTTCAATATAACTAAGCCAAAACAATTGAGATTTAGTTCATTGATTCTCTACTCTCTACTGGTTATGATTCTCCACCAATGAATTCTTTGTTTTAAAATCATCACCAAGTTTTTTTTTTTTTTAATGTTCGTCCAAGAACAAGAATTCACTGGTGAGTTCTTTGTTTTAAATTCCACTGTAATTTCTTACAAAGTTTACCCGCGAATTGCAACTGAAACTCAAACCATCAGTGTTCAATATGCCCCATTCAAAGATATTTATATCAATCAATACATTGGAAAAAAAACCATCCATTGAGCACTTTTGAGCAGTAAAAATTCTGTTGTCTTTCAGATTTATGAATGAAAGTGCCCTTGAATGGGGTGGATATTCCACTTTGTTTGAATAAGAACTCGCCATCCATTTTTAAACCTCAAGGTATCTTGAACAAAAGTCCATCCTTCTAAGACAACCATGCTGTTTTTGCTTTAAAACCAAGGATATCACTTTGTTTAGACCAGATAGGGATATAGATGGAACTCCCTCGTTAAAAAGAAGGGGTTTTTATAGTTTAGTCCACCCCTAGGGTGGAGATAAGATTTCTAGGGGTGGACTGAATCCTGCCCATGGATTGATGCCAAATTCATGGGCAGGATGTGGTTTATAGGGGGCTACTAATAGATTAGGAGGGGGCTGCAATTTCAGATTTCTGAGGTGGATTGCAGTCCACTTATCCCTAAAAATAATGGTGAAATAAGATTTATGAGACTGACCCAATATAGTTATGACTTATGATAAGACTTAATGATGATGAAGATTAAAAGAAAGTGTAGATAAGCCCAAAATGGAGACTTTGACAATGGCAAGGTGAAGATGCCCTTCAAAACCTCCTTGTCAGGGTTGCGAATAATATTACTCGTGGTGAAAACGCTCACTCCACTAAGACTAAACTCATAGTTCACCCTTTACACCAAGGCATTTGTTAAAACATTATGATATGGATCAAATCTCAAAAATGATTTGACCAATGCGAGCACAAAATTTGTTTTTTTTTTTTTTTTTTTTTTTTTTTTTATCTTGGTAATGTTTACAAAGAAAGAATGCACATTTTGATATTCTTCTGTACAGAAGAGCTGGGAACCCAGAGAAGAACCCATGTGATTACTCGCATGACAGGCTCTTTATGGCTGCAGTGATGTGTTTGGGATAGGCCCACAACTTTGAAAGGGACTCTTCATCTGAATCGCCTTCACTGTCTGAAGAGGATATTGTCGATAGAGAGTCCTCCAGTATATAATCGATGATCTGAAGACAAAGAAGAGGCAAAATTCAACTAGTTCTAGAAAATTATAAAACAAATATCTCATATGGAGTGCAGGTTGTGCAGCAAGATCAGAAGTTTGGCAATTTAGAAGAACATTAAACCCAACTAAAATGGAAATGAAAAAATGTCAGTTGGAAAATTAGGACCTTTTAATACAAAAAGCACTGAATCATGATCATGCACATGTCAAGGGTACCACGCAATAGTTTCCACCATGAGTTGCGCAAAGCCCAATGTTATCCCAATTAAATTGGAAAAGCTAAACATGGAGACAGAATACTAAGAACAAGGAATTATAAATATGATTCAAATCAGCATAATGCATGTTGGGAGAATCATTCCACCTCGAGGACTTGTGCAGAAAGAGAACCATATGTCCATATCCATTATTTGATATATTAAAGCATCATAGTAAATTAGAAGTGGAGTCAGACAACTAGGATCAAAGCACGAATGTGATATGGAAGCAGTATGAACTATGAACATGTTGGGAGTATCACATGATGGTTTGCACTTGGACTAGTGCAAAAACCAAACCATCATCTGAACATTGGAACAATTCACTAATTTCTTACAAAATTTCCCAATTAACCACAATAACCATTTTTTATGGATAGTCATCGTGATCTTTTTCCTTATTAAGTTGATGGAAAACTTAAGCAAATTCAATTGAACAATTCGTAGTAGTTTGGAGGTAATCTATGTAATTTATTGAAAGTTGCTTCTCAAAGTTGAGCAACAAAAAAGAAAAAAAAGAGAGATGTTGTCCTACCTGTTGAGGTGATACAGGCTTGATTTTCTGATTTTTCTGTTGCAAAACATGGTGCATATTGGAACATTTCATGTTGTTCAGCCAAACAATTGATTTGCAATGCCAACAGTATCCCCTGTTTGACATAGATCTCCGTATTGAATTCCCTGAAACATCACTGATTAGAATAATCAATAAGGTACTAAATAAAACAAGAAGTTCGAGCACATTCTACATTTTGAGGAGGGATGATTAGCCAATAAATAAATGTTTTTTATTATGTTTTATGAAACCTCATAAACTTTTATCAGAAACGTCTTACATATAAACAACAATGGAGTCATTCACTTGTTCCTCATAACAGGAATGAGCAATATATTAAAAATAGACTTATTCCAGAAATAATACTATAATAGAAAGGAATAACACAATTTCGTGATTACTGTCACCACTAAGCTCTAGAAAGTAGAATTATGCATTTGCCTTATAAGCCAGAATGAAATGAGTTCATTCTACATGACTCCCAGAACCTCTGTATCATGATAGCTGGAGTGCAGCACAAGTCAGCCTTAATATAATAAGGAAACATATCCATCTGCTATTTACTTTTATCTTTTTATCTATTCTCTTATAAAATTTTCTTTTGGTGAATATAATGGTGAGAAAACCTCATTCAATATGAGAGGGAAATGCCTATATGTTTGCATACAACGAATATGAAGAGAGCCAATTAGCAGGGAAAGAAACAATGAAGCATGCAACAACATAGTGTTGACACACCAGTGTTTTAAAAGCGCAAGGCGAAAAAAAGGCGCAGGGGCCAATTTGCACCCGAGGCGCAAGGCAAGGCGCACACCTTTTTGAAGCAAGGCGCAAAAATAGAAAAAAAAGCTAAAAATAAAGTCAGAAAATTCAAAAAAATGCAAAAAATAAAAATATTAAACATAATATTAATAAAAATACAAACTTAAATTTTAAAAATATGTTTTAAAAAATCTATTATCTAAAATTAAAATACATAAACATAACATGTAAAGCAATTCAAATGAAAATTTAAAAATAAAATCAAACATATAAAACATTTTCAAGCATGTAA